TTGCAGTAAATTATCCAGATACAAAGGAAAGATAACAAGACTAGTAAGAGGCCAATATTGCTCCATCAGAAGTTCTTCAATGACCTGAAAATCAAAAAGGAATCCTACAAATAGCGGAAACATGGATGAAATAGCACATGCACATAGGGAAAAAATCAGAATGACTAAGGCCTTGGCTACACTGGCGCTGTACAGCGCTGCAACTTGCTGCGCTCAGGGGTGTGAAAAAACACCCCCCTGAGTGCAGCAAGTACAGCGCTGTAAAGCGCCAGTGTAATCAGTGCCTGCAGCGCTGCACGCTCGCTTGCAGCGCTGCAAGCTACTCCCCTCGGAGAGGTGGAGTATATACAGCTGGCGGCGCGACTACACTCGCACTTCCCAGCGCTGCCGTGGCAGCGCTGTGATGTCCTGAGTGTAGCCAAGGCCTTAGGCACAAAATGAATTACACGTAGCAAGAGACATAAAAGAAACTTCACTAAAAAGGTGAATTATGACCAGATGCTTAACACAATTAATATTAACAACAAGGGGGAAGAAAGGCAAGCCAAAATAGGGAAAGTACAGGTTAAAGAATATTTAGATAAGTTAGATATATTCAAGTCAACATGGCCTGATGAAATGCACCCTAGGATACTTAAGGAACTAGCTGAAGCAACTTCTGAACTGTTAGCAATTTATCTTTGAGAACTCATGGAGGACAGGTGAGGTCCTAGAGGACTGGAGAAGGTCAAACATAGTACCTTTGTTTAAAAGGGGGAACAAAGGGGATGTGAGGAATTGTGGACCAGTCAGCCTAACTTCGATACCTAACTAGCATACTGGAACAAATTATTAAACAATCAATTTGTAAGCACCTAAAGGATAATAAGTAATACCCAACATGGAGTTGTCAAGAACAAATCATGTACAACCAACTTAATGTCCTACTTTCACAGGGTTACTAGCCTAGTGGATGGGGGAAGCTGTAGATGTGATATATCTTGATTTCATTAGGGCTTTTGACACTGTCCCAAACTAGGGAAATGTGGTCTAGATGAAATTACTATAAGGCGGGTGCAAAAGTGGTTGAAAGACTTACTCAGAAAATAGTTATCCATGGTTCACTGTCAGACTGCAAGGACTTATCTAGTGGGGTCCCCCAAGGGTCCGTCCTCAGTCCAATACTATTCAGTATTTTCATTAATGACTTGGATAATGGAGTGGAGTATATACCTATCAAATTTGCAGTTGACACCAAACTGGAAGGGGTTGCTAGCACTTTGGAGGACAGGATTAGAATTCAAAATGACCTTAACAAATAAGAGAATTGGTGTGAAATCAGATGAAATTTACTGAAGACAAGTGCAAAGGACTACACTTAGGAAGGAAATATCAAATACACAGCTACAAAATGGGGAATACGTGGCTAAGCGGTAGTGCATCTGAAAACAGTCTGGTGGTTACAGTGGATCACAAACTGAATATGAGTCAACATGATGCAGTTGTGAAAAAGGCATATATAATTCTGGGGAGTGTTAACAGGAGTATAACATGTGAGACAGGGGAGGTCATTGTGCTGCTCTACTCGGCAGTAGTGAGGACTCAGCTGGAGTACTGTGTCCAGTTCTGGGTGCCTTTAAGAAGGATGTGAACAAATTGGAGAGAGTCCAGAGGAAAGCTACAAAAATAAGAAGTTTAGGAAATCTGGCCTGTTGAGGAAAAATTAAAAAAAAAACAAAAAACCTGGGCATGTTTAGTCTTGAGAAAAGAAGACTGATGGGGGACCCGATAGTAGCCTTCATATATGTTATGGGCTGTTATAAAAAGGATGGTGAGCAATTGTTTTCCATGTCCACTGAAGATAGAAAAAGAAGTAATGGGCTTAATCTGCAGCAAGGAGATTTAGGTTAGATATTAGGAAAAATTTTGTAACTATACAAATTGTTAAGTACTGGAATAGTTTACTGGGGGGGGTTGTAAAATCCCTGTCATTACAGGTTTTTTAAGAACAGGTTAAACAAACACCTGTCAGAGATGGTCTAGGTATACTCAGTGCAAGAGGTTGGAGTAAATGAGCTCTCAAGATCCTTTACAGCCCTACATTTCTATGATTATAAGGGTCCCAGCAACAAGTGAAGATTGCAATTGTATGCAAGGTCTTAGATGAAATTTTGAAAGAGATAGTAGTTAAGGACATAAAAGTAAACAGTAATTGGACAAAATACAGCATGGTTACAAAAGATAGATCATGCCAGACCAACCTGATCTTTCTTTGAGAAGGTAACCGATTTTCTAGACAAAGGAAATACAGTAGATCTACCTGGATTTCAGTAAAGCATTTGATATAGTTCCAAATGGGAAATCATTAGTAAATTGGAGAAGATGGGAATTAATACAAGAATTGAAAGGTGGATAAGGACTGGATAAAGGGGAGACCACAGTGGGCCATATTGTAAGGTGAACTGTCAGTCTGGAGGGTGGTTGCTAGTGGAGTTCCTCAGGAATCAGTGTTGGGACCAATTTTATTTAACATTTTCATTAATGGCCTTAGCACCAACAATGGGAGTGTGCTAATAAAATTTGCAGGTGACACGAAGTTGGAGGTGTTGCCAGTATGGAGGAGGACGAGAATATTATACAAGAAGATTTGGGCAACCTTGAAAACTGGAGTAATAGAAATGGGATGAAATGTTGTAGTGCAAGTCATGCATTTAGGGACTAACAACTAGAATTTGTGCTTTAAGATAGGGACTTATTAATTGGAAGCAACGGAGCACTAGAAAGACCTGAGTGTATTGGTGACTATTAGCCACCAATATGATGCTGCTGTGAAAAATCCTGGGATGCATCAGGCAAGGTATCTAGTAGAGATAGGAAAGAGTTATTATTACCATTATACAAGGCACTGGTGAGACCTCATCTGGAATACTGTGTGCAGTTCTGGTCTCCCATGTTTAAGAAAGCCACTCCCAGTCACTACAAAAAGTAATTTTCCCTCTGTTGATATTCACCCCTTTTTGTCAACTGTTTGGAATAGGCCACATCCACCCTGTTTGAATTAGCCTTGTTAGCACTGACCCCACACTTGGTAAGGCAACTCCCATCTTTTCATATGCTGTAATATATATACCTGCCTACTGTATTTTTCACTCCATGCATCTGATGAAGTGGGTTTTAGTCCACGAAAGCTTATGCCCAAATAAATGTGTTAGTTTCTAAGGCGCCACAAAGACTCCTCGTTGTTTTTGCTGATACAGACTAACACGGCTATCCCTCTGAATACTTCACCAGTGGTATTAGCATCTTTGCAGTGCTTTGCAAACATCCAACTCTGTAGAGATGCTAAGTATTTAAGTAGTTCGGTAACAATACTAAAAATAAAGTCCAAGGAAAGTGCTTTTACATGAACATCCCAAAAAATTAACATGGCTGAAGCAAACTTACTCTGAATGTTGTGCATGTGGTTATAGAAGGGTTGATAATTGGACTGATTAAGTCTCTAAGTAGTAATGTGGTTAATTCCTGGATAGGGAAAGAGCAAGTTCCTAAGTGCCACATTTTCCAGGACCTGACTGGAGGGACAAGGTTAGAAACAAAGAAGTTTAAGGGTTTCTTTCTTCAAGCAGTGCCACGTATTTTCTGTCCCTGTCAGCCAGACTGACTACCAACGATTCTATAATGCACTCAGAAGGGTTTGTCTGTCTGTTTGTCCTTCCTTGTCCCTCATTTGATGACTAATGCCTGCATCTGTGTATAATTAGAGATAGGGTGGGGGCAGCTGTTATTACTCTCTCCTGTAATGTTGTCCCTCCGCTGGATGTTATTGAAAAGCCAGTGTTCTTCCAGGGCATTGGGCTTATCCTGGAGTTGGTCACCACAGGATCTAATTAAGGAAGAAAAGAAGAAGAAGGAGGGAGAAGAGCCTATTTAAGAACAATAGCATTCTAAAGCCTCCCCTTTAATGAGGAAATTGAATTTGTGACTGCGGAGCCCACTTGTACTTTTAAAGTGGATCCAAGCATATTTATGTGAGCGAAGACAGAGCTTGCTGGGTTTCAGGGCTCTTCAGCAGTCTGTAATGATGTCTGCAGCTGCACCTCTGCCTCTCAAGAGCTTGTCTTTGCTTTGTGTTAAACTTATCCTAAGTTGAGCTCTTGATACTTAGGAACATTAAATGGTTATTCCAATTGTAGCCCTCCATCCCTGCTCACAATCATCCTCTTCAGAGCAGGAAGGGTAGGTGTGTTGCTCTGTTCAGCTGTTTTACCACGTTCCTATACCTCTGTCCCCAAAAGCAGAGCACAGTCTTTCCAGAATGCTAATGACTAACTACCCCCAGCCCATCCATGGCGGCAGCCTGGAAGGCCAGTGGCTAGGATTTACCCCAAGGAATTTAGGTACCTGACTCCCATTCATTTTGATTTTCTGAGAGTTGGGCACTTTTCTCTCTCAGGTCCACTGGAAAATGCTAGTCACTGTGCCTTAGCATCAAGTTGTAAGAGAGTAGGTGAGCTTGCTTTAGTAAACTATCTACCTGTCTGGTTTATAAATTAACCCTAAAGAGATTCGGTCATCCCCAGGCAGAGGTTGCCTAGAAACTAGCTAAGTTCCAAAGATTTTGTGAGGCATTATGCAGGGGGAGGTGACGGGATGCTGGCCATTATGCTGGGGACCGTAGGCTGGTGAAGGTCTCCACATAGTATGCCTGCTTCCTTCCTGTTGTCCCAGCCTAGCATAATACAGCTTGGGGGGGAGGGAGGGCTTGTTCACTTAATAGAGGGTCAGACATAGCCCTCCCCCAGCAGTGATGTGCACACCAGGTTGCTCTGCAGTTTATCCGAAACCTCATTGTTCAAATGTCTCCAGAACCCTTCAGAAAAACAGGACTATACTGTGTAGCTTTGCTGGACTCTCCTCTATTACATATCTCATCAGTTGTCTGCATATCTCTGATTTCCAGGGCATGATCTCTTGCCATATATCACTGCACTGATGAGTTTTGCCCCTCTATTTTGTTGCAGGAGTTGGCACCAGGAATTATTACAGGAAGATTGGCTATGAGCTAGAAGGGCCATATATGGTGAAAAGGCTGGACTGATGCCCTTAATAAGAGGCACGGGAACCCCATCTTCATACCAGACGTGCTGCTGCGAGCAGGGCAGAGATGATGCTGACTAACCCTGGCAAGCAAGCTCAGGGGAGGAATACAAGCTTAAAACCGAGGTCTGCTTGTTGCTAAGTATTTGTTATGCTGGAGACCCCAGCCATAAATTGAAATCTCTACTGGGAGGGACCCAATATTATTCTCCTGAGAGACCATCCATTGTCATTTGCAGTGGGGATCTCATGAGAGAGCCACTCATCTTATTAGCTGATATGATACTGCTGGAGTTGGTGCAATAGTGCATTGAAACAAGCAGAGTTGTGCTGTTTTTCTGATTGAAGGTTCTCGTTTTAGGGGGCCCAGTTGAACATCTTGCTCATGTTCTGTCCGCATTTCCATTATGATGTCACTAGCATCATGTTTAAAACTTAGGCATGGAAAGCTTGCAGTCAGTTGAAATTGGGCTTGTAAGTTACTCGGGAAGCACAAATATTGTATTATTATTTTATGCGTCTATTTTTAAATTGAGCTTCGCTCCATACTGAGTAACAAGATTTAATTATTTTTGGGTAGGTATGTGTGGTGGGGGCAGAGTGGTTTGCAAACAGTTTGGATATTGTCAAGATTTTGAGATTCACATTTTGACTAACTCTGCACTAGGGCAGAGTCTGAATTTTGGATCATTCCAGCAATGAGAGATTCTAAGAAAAGTCTTTTCAGAAGAGTCAGAATAAGTGTCCGATGTGAGACCAAGCTACAAACCTCAGTGTGTAAAGGCTATGTGTTCAGCTCGTTTACTCACTATTGCCCACTCCCCTATATTGGGGAATCCTGGGGTACAGTAGGTTTATAAGTGCTCTTTGTGCTGCAATATTTGAGCCCTCAGAAATATATTTTTTAAAAGCATTATGCTAGATTTTAGCTGCTTGACTCATTAAAGTCAATGGGAGCCATGCAGCAAAAATTGAATGGAATGCATTAGAATGTGTCTCTGCATGATAGGAGAGAAGCAGCTTGAACTCTTTTATAGTCTTTCGACCTGAAATGGGGTTGAAATCAAGGGAAGCCATGTGTACTGAGCTCAGCATTTTACACATGCTACTCTTATAAATGAATCTGCCACAAGTCTTCTGGAAACTTCAGGTGTAATAGCTGCTCATAGACAGATGTGATTAACTTGAAGAGAGTTCCTGCAGTTGTGTTTCAATGCTGTTCATTAACTATGACTGCCACCAGGATCTATTGCCGCTTCAGAACATTGACTTCTGGGGTCATGGGCTAAGAGCTGCTCTGACGTCTGCTGACGCACACCTAACCAAGGAAGGGGAGAAATATGGGCAGGCTGTAGACATGCATTCTTTCTGGAGAGAATCTTTTAATAGAATTGTGTAAAGAATAGCTGACAATAAACTTTATATTATTAAAGTGTGAACTTCTTAAAGGTGTCCTGCGTTTTAAGGCTTCAGCGACTAAAATGCATCCAGACCAGTTTAACTCAGAGGTAGGAAAATTCCATGCCATTTTTGCTTTCTAATGGTGTATACAGACAGCCTGCTTTTCAAATAAGAAAAGGGTGGGTTGCTGGGGGGTGGGGGAGTTTGTGCTTGTTTTTTTTACAAGTCTTTTCTATCTTGCAAGTCTCTGTGGTAACTGAAGAACTGGTAGGATTCTGACGTAAATACAGATGAAATCAAACCTGATTCATTGAAGGAGGATGATTTTTATTCAGAACGTTTAAAATTCTCTTTGAGGGATAGTTTGTTTTATTATCACCTGTTTAGCTTACATGACTCATATACACTTGGAATAAAAATAAAACTCTTGCTTTAAGATTCAACAACCCCTCCCACTATCCTTTAAATAAGGGCTGAGAATGCTCACAATGCACATTTCTGAAAACTTCAGGTCTTCCAGCAAAACCAGGGAAGATCAGATTTGACATCTTTCAAGCCACTTGCTTGCTTCATCAAGAAGCATCAAAAGGTACAAAACCCATGATCTAGTTTTCCTTTTACAGGTCACCTCATGGTTCTCTGTTATGTCTTCTTCCTGCACTTGCTCTGCTTCTGCCAGAACACAGATTCATTAGCCCCTCTTGGTCACGCCCTGATTACACAGATACCTAGAACCAGTGTTATAATGGAGCCTTCTGCACTCAGCATTCCACAAAATAGCAACCCATTGGTGTTAGCAGCAGCATCCTGTGCAAGTTGCAGTTTGAGTAATCAAATTTTGCTGAGCTGAATTCCCCTGACAGTTTCAAGTGGACAAAGTTTTCTTCATTTCTTGGCCTAAACCCCTGTGTGACATTGCTGTGCACAAATCAGCTGCTACATTGCACCCTAAAGCAGGGGTGGGCAGACTTTTTGGCCCGAGGACCACATCTGGGTATGGAAATCGCATGGTGGGCCATGAATGCTCACGAAATTGGGTGTGGGAGGGGGTGAGGGCTCCAGCTGCGGGCTCTGGAGTGGGGCCAGAAATGAGGAGTTCAGGGTGCAGGAGGGGGCTCCGGACTGGGACAGGGGGGTTGGGTGCAGGGGGGTGGGGTGAGGGCTCTGGCTGGGGGTGCAGGCTCTGCGGTGGGACTGGGGGTGAGGGGTTGGGGGTGCAGGAGGGTGCTCCGGGCTGGGACCGAGTGGTTCAGAGGGTGGGAGGGGGGTCAGGGATGGGGCAGAGGGTTGGGGCGTGGGACGGGCTCAATGGTGTAGGCTCCGGCCGGTGCTTACCTCAAGCAGCTCCCAGAAGCAGCGGCATGTCCCCCCTCCCGCTCCTACGTGGAGGCACAGCCAGGCGGCTCTGCGCACTCTCCTGTCCGCGGACGCTGCCCCACAGCTCCCATTGGCCAAGGTTCCTGGCCAATGGAAGCCACGGGGGGCAGCGCTTGGGGCGGGGGTAATGTGCGGAGCTCCCTGGCTGCCCCTATGCGTAGGAGCCGGAGGGGGGACATGCTGCTGCTTCCAGGAGCCATGCGGAGTGGGGAAAGCTCCTGACCCTGCTCCTCGGCTGGAGCGCCAGAGCAGGGCAAGCCCCAGACCCCCCCTCCCCAGCGGGAGCCCGAGGGCCGGATTGAAACATCTGGAGAGCCAGATGCGGCCTCTGGGCCGTAGTTTGCCCAACCCTGCCCTAAGGGGAGCTGCCCTTCAACGGTGGATAGTGATTCCTTAGCTCTGTTTTTAAAAGCATTTGGGAACCTATACGTTGGAGTTTATTTTGTAAATATGGAATCTCTGTTCTATTCTAGATAGATTTTTATACCATGCTCATTGTCGTAGTATCTGAGCACCTTCCAGTAGTGCATTAAGTATTGTGACTACACATCTGTCACATGTTGTTTGTTCTCTCATCCTCTTCCCAGAGGAGGAAGTGTTTGCAGCGGAGTATCTTGGTTTGGTAGGGTTTTTTATTTATTAAATAAATATACCTGTTGCTGTGTGTTTATATTAAGGAAGGAAAGGTCAAAGAAATGCATCTTGCAGTTGGAAAAGTGGTGACATTAGAGATGGTCTTTAGTTCCTGGGGAAGTTCATTCCACAGTCTCGGACCACCCCCAGAGAAAGGTCTGTCTCCCACACAGATGAGCTTTACTCTTATTGTTGAGAGTTCCGTTGTGCCAGAGGAGCTAAATTGTCAACCATGGTCTTCGCCCTGGACCTTTAAATAGTCTTTTGGGTATCCTGGACCCAAACTATGGAGCGCTTTGAATATAAGGACCAAGACCTTGAACTTCATTCAAAATCTGTGGGAAGCAAAGAACAGGTGTGTTGTGCTCACAATAACCCATGTTGCTGAGGACACGTGCTGCAGCATTTTGTACTACTTGGAGTTTCCTAAGTGCTGAAGGTTTCATGCCCAGGTATATCGCATTGCTGTAGTTCAGGCGAGACGTGGTGAAGGCATGAATAACTGAGGCCAAGTTTCTTCTGCCAGGATGGGATGGAGTTTCCTAGCCAACTGGAGATAGTAGAAAGCATTACTTGCAGTTGCTGTGATGTGAGAGTTCAGCATTCATGAGGAATCAAAGAATACTTCTAGACTATAGACTTAATTGACCAGTTGTGGATGTCAAACTTCAACCAATGGAGATTGCACAGTCCTCAAAATACTTTCCTCTGACCATCATCGCCTCTTCCTGTTTTGCTTGGGTTCAGCTTCAGACATCCGTTCTCATCCAAGCACTGGGCCATTTTATGTTAAGGATGGGTAGAGCTGTGTCATCTGCATATTGCATTGTCCTGCTAAACCCAGGGTTGTGCGTTCAATCCTTGAGGGGGCCATTTAGGGAACTGGGGTAAAAATCTGTCTGGAGATTGGTCCTGCTTTCAGCAGGGGGTTGGACTAGATGACCTCCTGAGGTCCCTTCCAACTCTAATATTCTATGATTCTATATTGCTGGCACTTGAGTCCATGTTGTCTGACCAGTTCACCTAATGTTTGCATGTAGATATTGAAAAGGACTAGAGAGAGAATTGATCCTTGTAGGATCCCCACAAGTGGAAAAGTCTGGTGGTGTAGGTGCAGTTTCCCATCACTACTCATTGGGTGTTCCCCATCAGGAAGGACTCAAACCACTATAGTGCATTACCCTGGACTCCTGCCACTTCACTCACACGAGACAGCAGTATCTCGTGATCAGCACTGTCAAATGCTGCAGAGAGGGCCAGGAGGATGAAAATGAATGTCTGTCACTCTATTCACTGTCACTCTATTTACTATCAATGCCACAAAAACCATGTCCGTTCTCTGTCCTGGCGTGAATCAAAATTGTGCCAGGTGTAGAATGTTGGCTTTATTTAGATGAGCTAGTAGTTGTCCTTTTGCTGTCTTCTCTGTGTGCTTGCTTAGGAATGGGAGGTCTGACATTCAGCAATAATTGGCTTTTTTCAACAAAATGTTATGTATGATTTGTCAAGCTTACAGTTCAGTGATGGTCACATTCTCTAGCATGGCACCGAGATATATCAGCATCTCAAGACAAGAATTAGCAGAAGTCAGTTTGGTTTCTGCCCAGGAGTAGGCAAGAGGGAGGCAGCATTTGCCGTAAGGATCTTATCTGAGCATGTGATAGAAGTGCAAAGGGAAATCCATATGTGCTTTTTGGATTTAGAAAAGGCATTTGATAAAATTCAACGTGACAAAATGATGGATACTCTGGAAGAATGTAGTATTGACTTCCAAGATCTGCAATTAATAAAAAGCTGGTATTGGGGACAGAAAGCAGCAATCCAAATGAACTATGAAATAGCTGACTGTTGTAGCATCAAGAAAGGTGTATGCCAGGGTTGTATCCTATCTCTAAAACTATTCAACATATATGCAAAAGTTCTAATGAGGGAAAGTTTGGAAGACATCAGCCAGGACATATATGGGTCAATGGCATATACATCAACAACATAAGATACTCCAATGACCTAGTTTGTATTACTATGACCAGGGGAAACTTCAGAACATGCTTATTGCTATGAATAATGCCAGCAAGAAATATGGAATGATGATTAATGTTAGAAAGACAAAAAGTATAAGTA